ACCAATACTAGCTAATAAATTCTCATACATTGCTCAATTGAGGTATATAAAGATACCATCGTGACCTACACAACTCCATAAACATCCCCAAATTTTTAAAATAATTTTTGGAGCCCTCACGCCCCGTCACACGTCAACAAGGGCCACGCGCAGGGACCCTAACAGAATCCCTTAACCCCGTTAGGAATATTCCGTTAAAAAGTAACAGAAACCGTTAAAACTAACCAACGCTGTTAGGAATATTCCGTCAAAGTTGACAGAATATTCCGTCATCCCCTACCTTCGAACTCCGGCGACCGTCGCCTTCGCCGGAAACTGGAAAAACTTTACAACCTTGTAACTTCTTCATTTTTCAACTAAAATTCACGAATTATATACCAAAATGAAGCTTAAGACAAGTAGAACAAATCCTTACCAGTTTTAAGACGTAAAACTCACAGGATCTTGCCAGAAAAATCCACAATAATCAAGCCAAACTTAAAACTCGCTAATCTCACATTCCCGACGTCCAATTTACTTGGTTTTTCTTCTTCGAGCTTCGTAGGGATGTTTTACAACTTCCTAAAAGCTTCAAATCACCTAAAACATCCATAATTACGACCACATGAACAGTGCATCAAAACTGAGATTCTGAATTCTCGGGTTTTCGAGGGTTTCACTTACCAAAAATGGTATGGATAAGCTCCTGGACTTGCAAGGAACACAAAGATCACTTCCCCAGCTTCGATCTGCGACTAGAAGTGAAGGTTTGAAGGTTGTCCGTACAAGTTGTATAGAAATGGAAGAAGATCCGAGAGGGAGGAGAAAGAAGGTCAACGGGAGGTGTGTGTGTGTGTGTGTGTGTGTGAGTGTGTGGTCCAATTTTGGTTCATTAATCACCACAAAAAAATTTACTAACTTTAAGTTCCAAAAACTTAGGAACTAACAAAATTAGTTTAAACCCAACTTAAACCACAACACCACATAACAAACTCAATGTTCAAGGGCAATTTAGACATTTCACACCATTGAAACTAAATATGTCGGGATGGGCTGTGACACTCAGCCCATGCCGAGCCAATCCTTGGCTTTAATCATGCCAAATAGCACAAGCAATGGCCCCTACCACACCACCTTCTTAGCCCATGCCAAGCCGACTCCTGGCCTTTGCCAGCTAACATGCCGCACCACCCCGATGGCTACCCTGTGGCAGCACCTCCCAAGAAGAAGACAAGGAGAATTAAGTTTTTCTTACATCGTGCAGTGTGAAGATGACAAATAAATCAACGGAAGACGGTTCTTTGCACAGGCAAGCAAAGAAGAGTGCTACGGGAGGGGGAACAAATATCCTCTAGCTTTCTCTCTTTCTTGTAGGGATAAATAATTGCCCTCCGAAGTTGATTTAATCTCCTATTTAAGGTAGGCTTAAATAGGCTTTAGAGGCGATTTATTTCCCTTTCCTAGAAGAATCTAATTCCAAGTCCAAAAGGGAATCTACATCAAAGTTTGAGATCTCTACACCTGTTGCACTTTCCTGCGAGCAGCACAGCAAGTGTGGGGGCATTTGTGGAGCAAAAAATAATCATAAGGCGAAACGTGGATTTTTGGGTTAAAATGACAAAATTATCCTCAAGGCATACCAAGATTCCTACTCGCGAGCAATGGGCAATCAACCTTCAACCAAGTCAAAAATGCCCAAACTAGGTAATAATTCAAAACCTATTTCATCCATCCTCATAATCCTCTCCACAAGGTAACTCCCAAATCATTCCCCTTTTATTATATTAATTAGATAATTAATTAGGAAATTATTCTATTAATTAGCTAATTAATTGATTTATTATTCAATTATTCCTAATTAAACACAAATCAAGAACCTAGCCCACAAAATGAACCAAGTGGCCGATCCTTTCTATCCCAAAGGGGCCGGCCACACCCCTATAAAAACCTCATCATTCTCTCCAAAACTCAATTCCAATGCTCTTGCTAAATTCTCTAAATTCTCCAAACACTTTTCCCTCAAAATTCTAACTTTCACATCAGAGGTTTTTCGGCCAAAGCCCCCTATTCATCATGGGAGCGTGAGGCTCTTGGCCTTGACCTAAGGTGTTATTTGTTTTGTAGGTGCAATTTTGTCCAAGAACAAGGAGGAAGAAATTTGCATCCACAAATACACTCCAAAACCTTAAAAAAAAAATTTATTTTTGCATAAATCAATTCATATCTTACTTGGAAGGTCCAAAATTTTAAAATCACCATCTATCGGTCGTAAAACTTGTTTTTCTCTATGAGATCGTCTTAGGGCTTTAGCCATAATAGAGCATTAATTAAAGATTGTGTGATGCTAAGGGTTTGTTTAATGGATTTTGTATTTATTGATAAATTTTAATTGTATTATGAGTTTATCTTGTACTGATGATAATTATGCAATAAGGTAAAAAAATAATTTACATTTAAGATTTAAGTTGAGTGTAAAGTAATATTATATGAGTTCAAATAAAATTTCTCTTTATATTATATTAAAATTCTGTTCACACCCCATAATTTGTTAAATCACCCCACCATCAAAATTTTCCCCAACAATTTCAACTTTACCCTTTTTTTCTCAAGAACGTACCACTCCTTGCAAAAACAAAATATCCCACATCGATCCAGCCTACCTCCTCATTGTCGCCAGTGACTCTGTTGTGTTCTCTAGGATCAACCACACCCTTGAAATCGAGCCACGAGGGAGGGAAAATGTGATCCATGAGAATTTTTTTGTTGTGACGGGAACATTGATGGTACACGGCATATTTTTATGTAAGTGGTGGAAAATTTTAATTTTTAAATTATTAACCTTTTAACACATATATCCCACCATTTATATAGGGACATGTGGTGTCCCGTCTCGTGTGACGGTTACACTGAAAAATCTGTTGTGATCCATGACTGTAGTGTGGTTTGGTCTTTATGATTTAGCTAAGCAATTAAGTCTTTGAGGGAAACATAATTCAACCGTTAGGCTTCTTTTTGGGGTTCTATAGGATTCTCTCCCCTCTTTTTTTCTCACATTCCCTCCCCTTCTATTTAAATGGTCACGGTTAAGCCTTGACATCTTATATTAATTTTTTATAGAAAGAGAAAGATAAAATAAAGAATGTGAGAGAATAGAATGGAATGAGATGGAAAGAGGATGGGGGAAATCCGAATCCCTAGTAAACCTAGTTCATATATGATTATTGTTTTTTAAAAGAGTGGCACTATCGACACATATTATTTTATTTTTCATACACCTCTTTGTTAATTTATGTAATTTTATTATATTTAATTCATTTGATTCAATAATAAAAATTAAGAGTAGTTTGTGAAAAGTAAAAAGATGTGAGGGATAGCAAAACCCTTAAGAAAGAAGTCAGCAAATCAGAAAAGAAATAGAAAGGAAGAAATAGTTTGGATTGTGGGGATGAACTAGTTTTGCTTTGCTACAAGAGTACTAGTTCTGAGATATCCCTCAACTTTTTTCACATGGGATGTTTCAGTGACTATTGCTTTGATGCCAAAAACTTAAAGTTGGAAAATGCAACGCGTTATATGGGGTTCGGCAACTTTTACCTAATCAATAACTTCCTTGTGTTCCCACGTACTTTTACTCCTCCAACCGAAATCTGCACTTCTATTAGCAATGGATTTTTTTAATCGAAGAAAAACTTTGAGTTTAAATTTAGAATAACGTTAAACTAAAATTATAAACTAAATAATGTGTTACTAATAAAAATAAGGATGTTTATTAACGTTTAAATAATATTTCAATCATCAACTTACATATCATTTAGTTTACATTTAATCTATAAATTTAGTCTTCTTAATATTACTCTTAAATTTAATAACGCGTTAAGTAGCTCGCTTAAAAAGTACATTTGCAAAGAATGAAGATTCTGTTTGAATCTTCTTTGTGAGAATAATGAAACTCAACAAAATTGACGAAGTCCACACAAGTGGTGGAGCATGTGATTTTCGGATAATGAGAGAAAGCAATCACAGTGATATAGTTGTATTATCAGAAGTTTACCTATTGGACTTAAATCATGACCCGCTTGACTAGAAAAGCTATATTTGCTGGGATAGGGACAATACCGTACAATTACTATCATTGATTGGAAATGACTTACCACTTCCCTCGGATTCCCTTCAATTATTGACCATCCACACAGAGATCTAAAGCAGCTCTACATGTGAATTCTTGTTGGACTTTGAAAGAAAGCAAGCCAGAGTGTAATTAACAATAGAATGATATATATAAGGGGCATTGTGGTATTTTCATGTCATGTTTTGATTAAAACTTCAGAAAATTATAATAAGAGTGGTGATATTTCCACCCCGGTGTCTTATTTCCTCACCCACCATTTAATGAAAATGTTAATAACATATTTATCCTTTTAAAAGAAGACTCTTAAACCTCTATTTCATTCAATACTAAAATTTTGAAAAGACAAAAAATAATTTAAAATAATAAATAAATAATGGTGGGTGGGGTGTGATATCTTTGGGGAAAAGAGGTTTGGAAAGGGTTAGAATCGACGGAAAGGTTGGTGGAAGGAATGAGCGTATACTGGACGAAGGCGATAAACTTCAATGGAGAAAAAAGAGAATTGAGTGTGAGATCTGCGGTTTTGACAAAAAATGAGGAAGAAGAGTGGTTTGGGGGTCCGGGGTCTCTGTAGGGCGGCGATAGGTGTGAATGATATGATAAATGTCTAGGTCTTAGGTCTTGCATTTTCTTTCATTTTTTTCTATTTTTATTTATTTAATTATAATATTATTTAAAGATATATTAGAGTTATTTAAAAAAAATATTATGGTTATTTTGGGAATAATGGTGGGTGGGGAAATAACATTTTACTTTTTTAATTTTTTATGGTGGGTGAGATTATCATGTGGGTGGGAAAATAGGACACTGGGGTGGGTCTAGTAGCACTCTTATAATAATTGGTTAAATTCTATACATGATCCAAATTTAGACTATCTTTCCAAATTTCCCTTGAGAGTTCAAATATATCCCCAAGCTTGTAGAATCTCTTAATACCCTAAAAGAAGCCCTCATGTCTAGGATTATGTCAAAATTGAAAAAGGAAAAAAATGATGAAATTAGGAGTCGAGTGAAGCAAAGGCACAACTTTCATCATAATATGTAACAAGTCGATTGAGTGACCTCAAATAAAATTCGAACATTAACGTTAGAATAAAAATTCTTTGTATAACAAGGATTATCACCATAGTTTAACAAGGATTATCACCATAGTTTAGAGGTGAGACTTTTACACAAGAGGTAGGCGACTACTATCTGGGCACGCAGTCATCATATGCTAATCTCCAATTTAACTTTGAAACTTTCAAAACGACGTGTCGTCTTATATGAGTCACGACTCACACTTGAAACGACAACCGATGAGTCAGTATCCTTCAGTCAGCAGCACGTAACTTAGAAAGCGAGGGAAAAATGCCAGAGGCGTTGTTTAGGTGGCTACTGCAGCTGCACAAGGACGTGCCAAAAGCCGCCTGGTTCTACGCCGAAGGGTTGGACTTCACCGTCAATGTCTGCACTCTTCGATAGACGGATCTACAGTCCAGCCCATTCAAGCTTTACCTTATGCAATACCCCAAGTGAACTCTCCCTCTCCATTCTCTGAGACTCTGTGCTCGGTGCACACCAGGTGTTTGATGATTTGTATAAACCAGTTTTTTACACATCCTTTCCCACAAATTGTACTGTTTTCTCGTGTTTTTCGTAAAAACAGTATAATTGAAAGAGACCCAAGTGAAGTTTGTGTCGATTGAAAGAGTAAAACTTAGAATTTCTTGGGTTTTTTCGATGTTATAATTCTTGGTATTTTTTGGTAATGTGGTGTTATTTGAGCAGTAATTGGATTTAAGCTTTATGTTTTGAATGAAATTGGCATCTGCTAATGACTAATTTTGACAGGGATCATGCATTGTAGAATGGAAACTCTTCACTTTTGTCCTTCACAGTGCCAGACATTAATCAAACAGTGACCAAGTTGATGGCATAAGGAGCTGAAACTTGATGGCCCTATCAAATATGAAGTCCATGGCAAGGTGATGACTAAATTTCTAAACAAAACCGTTGTGATCATTTGTTCGTATATCATTGCTACACTGGGTGCAGAGATTTTAGTAAGAGTTTCGTGTTACTGGTTGCTGCCATGCGATGTATTTGATGGGCATATGTTAGGCCTTTATGAACCTGCTTAGGTTTTTCAGAAGCAAACCCCTTGAAAAAGTGCGACCAGCTGAGGATCAAAATATGGTGATTCGAGCTTTCGTAAGTGAATCTTGAAATTTTTACCCCATTACACAAATGACTGTAGGAGCTTCTATTCCTAATTCTCTGTCATTCTCTTTTGGTAGCATAGTTTGGACCCAAAAAAATTCACCAATTACATAGATCAAACTCAAAGTAACAATGTCACTTATACATGACATTGTGTTATTGGTTTGGAACGGCAATGTGGCATCTGAAGGGGCGCATGTAAGTCCTTACACAATGAGTCTGACCAATTCAGACGTCTAATGTAAGATGCTATTAATTGATTTATGTCTAAATAAGAGGAAATTGTAGCAATGGTCTATCAACTTTAACTCAATTGGAGTAATGGTCCCTAAACTAAAAATCTAAGACCATTGATCCCTTAACTTCTCAAAACGTGCGGCTATGGTCATTTTCTTCAACTCCGTTAGAACTTCCGTCAAAATGAGTCATGTGCCATGAGGCTGAATCAGGGGCAATTATGGAAAACCAAATGAGAAAAATTGTAGCAATGATTTCTCAACTTAACCCAACTAAAGAAATGGTCCCTCAACTTTAACTCAATTAGAGCAATGGTCCTTCATCTTTATATCAATTGTAGCAATGGTCATTCCAACATAACTCATTTTGACGGAGTTAACGAAAAGGACCATAGCTGCACGTTTTGAAGAATTAAGGGACCAATGATAATGGATCTTCTGACTAGGACTACAACTCCGATCTGAAATTCTCCGTCTCGATCGTTCAGTTTGAAGTTGTTACTCTGTATGTTGTTTCTCTCTGTGCAGCTCTTTTCTTTGTTTCATCTTATATCGACATGGGTCCGAGCACAAATATCAGAAAACAGAGGTATAAATCTTTGTCTTCGACTTTTTTTTATTCAAATTGATGTGCATATTGAGCTACAAAACAACCAATTTCTGATATATTTGTGTGTATAGTTTGTGAATTGGGCATGGAAATTTATTTTGGTGAGCTTGAATTCTGCATATAAATTGTTAGTTTAGGTTAATTTGTTTTCTGGAGCTGAAACTTTCCTTGCTGCGATTTATCAGTTTCTATTGACCTTTCAACAACAACAACAACAACAACAACAACAAAGCCTTTTCCCACTAAGTGGGGTCGGCTATATGAATCCTAGAACGCCATTGCGCTCGGTTTTGTGTCATGTCCTCCGTTAGATCCAAGTACTCTAAGTCTTTTCTTAGAGTCTCTTCCAAAGTTGTCCTAGGTCTTCCTCTACCCCTTCGGCCCTGAACCTCTGTCCCGTAGTCACATCTTCGAACCGGAGCGTCAGTCGGCCTTCTTTGCACATGTCCAAAATCACCGGAGCCGATTTTCCCTCATCTTTCCTACAATTTCGGCTACTCCTACTTTACCTCGGATATCCTCATTCCCAATCTTATCCTTTCTCGTGTGCCCACACATCCCACGAAGCATCCTCATCTCCGCTACACCCATTTTGTGTACGTGTTGATGCTTCACCACCCAACATTCTGTGCCATACAACATCGTTGGCCTTATTGCCGTCCTATAAAATTTTCCCTTGAGCTTCAGTGGCCTACGACGGTCACACAACACGCCGGATGCACTCTTTCCATCCAGCTCGTATTCTATGGTTGAGATCTCCATCTAATTCTCCGTTCTCTTGCAAGATAGATCCTAGGTAGCGAAAACGATCGCTTTTTGTGATCTTCGCTAGATTGCTCCGGTCATTAGTGTGGATAAGTATGTAAATGGATAGAGATAGGAAAGCAAACACAAGATGTACGTGGTTCACCCAGATTGGCTACGTCCACGGAATAGAAGAGTTCTCATTAATTGTGAAGGGTTTACACAAGTACATAGGTTCAAGCTCTCATTTAGTGAGTACAAGTGAATGATTTAGTACAAATGACATTAGGAAATATTGTGGGAGAATGATCTCGTAATCACGAAACTTCTAAGTATCGGAGTGTGGTGTCGTCTTGACTTGCCTTATCTGTCTCATAGGTAGATGTGGCATCTTCTCTGGAAGTACTCTTCCTCCATCCAAGGGTGGTATCTTTAATTGGTGGAGATGCACAAGGTAATGTATCAATTTCACTTGAAGCTTACTTGTAGTTTCAGGCTTGGTCAAGCGCGATACAAACCATGTAGTAGGAGTCCCCCAAGTCGCCGAGCTAGGGGGTCTGCTGAAAGAGGTGACAGACAAGGTAAGCAATCAGAGCTCCGACTGATTGTTCACCTTCTCCCCATCTTGCAGCAGCATGAAGGATAAAGAGAAGAAAAATGAGAATAGATGATATGAGATACTTTTGCTTTTGAAGAAGTAACTTTCCACAGGCTTATTCTTGAACTGAGCTGGAGGGTTTTCTGGTTTCCTCCAGAGTATAAGGCCGACTGAAGAATTTGATGGTCAAAACAAGTCCATCAAATCTAGAGTACGTTCCACCCTGCTGATATGGGATACTTTTGCTTTTGACAGAGTAATGAATGTATCGGCACGTGTGCTGTTACGCTTGTCTCCACATGCTTCCTTGTATCCTTCGCACTTGCCCTATCTGTTCCTCAAGCAGATGCGGACTCTTCCCTGGAAACATAAGATGTTGAAGATGAGTACTCGAGAGCAATGTCAGGTAAGTAATCAGGTAAGGGGTTCCAGGCAGTCAGTTCCTGGCTGGAAGCTTGATTCCAAGTGCTGACTGATTGCTCTCTTTCTCCTTGTCTTGCAGGTAAAACAAGGCCAAAAGAAAAAGACAGGGAAAAAGCATGATATGGGATACTCTTGCTTTTTAACCCTGATGATATGAGATATTCTTGCTCTAGTATAGCTTGTTTGCAGAGGTATTATCGGGGGGAAAGAAAGCTGAATATTTCGAAAGGCTTCGTTGGGAGTGCCCTCTCAGATATGATGATGAAGGGTTGAGCATTTTTGCAGGTCTGCCTGTCCGTTGGGGATGGAGGTCGACATATATAGGAGTCTCCCTAACAACAAGTAGTAATGCTATTCCTTTACCCTGCTTGGTCATAGCACGGTAGTGGGAGCTGCCAGTTTCACATGTTTTAACTCTGTCAGAGCACTTTGAAAAAGTGGTCTGTGTGTATCTGGCTCTCGAGATTCGGAGAACGATGCCTCTTCGATTTTTGAGAAAGCAATCATGCTGGGGGTATGACTCTCGAGATTCGGAGAGCAGTGTCTCTTCGATTTTTGAGGAAGTAATCATGTTGGGAGTCTGGCTCTCGAGATTCGGAAGGCGGGTGCCTCTTCGATTTTGGAGCAAGCAATCTTGTTGGGAGTGTTGTCTCGAATGTGAGTAAAGGTTGGGCATGTTTGCTAGTTTACCTTGCCACGAAGCACAAAGGTTGACACACAGGGGACTTTCCAATTATCCAGCAATGGTACTGTTCCTTTACCCTCTCTTCGATTTTGAGAAAGTAGTCATGTTGGGGGAGTCTGGCTCTCGAGATTCGGAGGACGGTGCCTCTTCGATTTTGGAGCAAGCAATCTTATTGGGAGTGTTTTCTCGAATGTGAGTAAAGGTTGGGCATGCTTGCTAGTCTACCTTGCCACGAAGCACAGAGGTTGACACACAGGGACTTTCCAATTATCCAGCAGTGGTACTGTTCCTTTACCCTTGTGGGTAATAATATGGTAGCTAGACCTTCAAAATTTATGTGTGTCTAAACTTTTGTTAGTGCTGTTTCTTTGCTATTCTTTTACCTTTCTTGGTCAGAGCGATGTAGTGGGAGCTGTAAGCTTCACGTGCTCAACTTTGGCAGAGAACTTTGGCAAAGTTATTTGTGGTACCCATGAGCTATTGTTACGTGTGGGAAGTGGGTGATTGAATAGTAAGATTCATGTGCTTTCTACTTCACCAGAAGTCTTCGACAGAATGCCCATAATTTCTGCAAAGCTGAGTGTGCGTGTGACAGGTGCTGACAAGGCTAGAAAAGTAGGTGCCTCTTCGATTTCTGAGATCGGCCCTCGTGGTCTCTGAGCAGCCCAGCTTTTGAGAAAGCGAGCGCCTCTTCGATTGATTCGGAGAACGATGCCTCATCAATTTTTGAGAAAGCAATCATGCTGGGGGTCTGGCTCTCGAGATTCGTGGAGCAGTGTCTCTTCGATTTTTGAGAAAGTAATCATGTTGGGAGTCTGGCTCTCGAGATTCGGGAGGGCGGTGCCTCTTCGATTTTGGAGCAAGCAAAGTGTTTTCTCGAATGTGAGTAAAGGTTGGGCATGTTTGCTAGTCTACCTTGCCACGAAGCACAGAGGTTGACACACAGGGACTTTCCAATTATCCAGCAAGGTACTGTTCCTTTACCCCTCTCTTTAAGGGTAGTTCTCAAATTGTGAGTGGCGGAGTGTTTTTCTCGAATGTGATTGAAATGGAGATGTTTGCTAGATTCTGTGGACTTCCAATTAATCCCCACAGTGGTACTGCTCAGAAAGTCTTCGGAGAAGCTGACTTTGCCTTCTTTTCAGAGCGAGTTTGAGTACAGTGTTGGCTCTTTGACAAAGGTTGTGGTATGACTGCGTGTTTCTAGAAAAGTAGGTGTCCAGAGTTCTTCAGGTTTTTGAGGCAAACTCGGGACGTGTCTCGATTCTGGTCTCTCAAGACCCAATCTTACTGGGAGTACCTTTTTTCTCGCTTTTTGATGGACGCTCTTGTTTATGTTTTTTGCCACAAAGCACAAGTCTGGCATGGGGATACTTTGTTTCTTGCGAATTAAGTGGTTGACACTGTTCTACCCAGTGGGTTGGGTCTTGCTTTAAGAGTTCTTGATTGTCTTTCGGCTCTGGGTCTATTTCAACATTGTTGGAAGAAATGACGGTGCGTGTGTTTTCTGAGTACCCGTTTTGCTTTGTGCACTTTCCAAACCACAGACCTAAAGTGGTAGTGGGAAGCAAAATAAATTAAAAGCCTTTCTACTTCACCATGGAACTTTTTGCCAATTATCCATAATTCCCGCATGGGACTGAGTATGTCCTTGTGGGGTCTACCCATTTTTTGCTTTTACTCTTTCATGTGAAAGTTTTGTGAATGGGACTTCTTCGTTTTTTCAATTCTTGGGAATGGTTGGCCAGAACTGGTTTTTCAGTGGTTCTTTTCTTTCCCCTTGGGGGAAGCCTCAAAGTTTTGCTTCTTTTTAGAAGAGCGTTCAGCTGTGTTCAAGAAATTTTTTAAACTTTTTGTTGTGTAAGGCTGGTCTTTACAAATGCCTGTTCCGCAAACAGTGCAGGTTGCTGAATGATCTGATGGCCTCTCTTCGTGCGTGGTCTCAAGCTTTGAGGCCGAGCGCCTCTTCGATTTCTGAGATCAGCCTTCGTGGTCTTTGAGCAGCCCAACTTTTGAGAAAGCAAATGCCTCTTCGATTTCTGAGATCAACCCTCGTGATCTCTAAGCAGCCCAGCTTTTGAGAAAGCAAACGCCTCTTCGATTTCTGAGCAGGCGCCTCTTCGATTTTTGAAGCTCCGTCGAGTGCAGATTTTTATAGGGGCTGGCATTAAGTTCCAAAGCACACTTGGATCTCCACCAGTAGAAGCTTCATTCTTGCACTTCTAAGATCTTGATTTGTCCGACCTCTTCTCTCTTCAACACCTTTGAAAATGTCTGGCCCCTCCGACCGTCGTTTTGACTTGAACCTTGTTGAAGAGGCAGCCCCGCCTTCTCCAGACAACATATGGCGCCCATCTTTCGTCTCCCCTACTGGTCCTCTTACCGTTGGGGATTCCGTGATGAAGAATGATATGACCGCTGCGGTGGTGGCCAGGAACCTTCTCACTCCCAAAGATAACAAACTACTTTCCAAACGGTCTGATGAGTTAGCTGTTAAGGATTCGCTGGCTCTCAGTGTTCAGTGTGCAGGTTCTGTGTCTAATATGGCCCAACGCCTATTTGCTCGAACCCGCCAAGTTGAATCATTGGCGGCTGAAGTGATGAGTCTCAAACAGGAGATTAGAGGGCTCAAGCATGAGAATAAACAGTTGCACCGGCTCGCCACATGACTATGCTACAAACATGAAGAGGAAGCTTGACCAGATGAAGGAAACTGATGGTCAGGTTTTACTTGATCATCAGAGATTTGTGGGTTTGTTCCAAAGGCATTTATTGCCTTCGTCTTTTGGGGCTGTACCGCGTAATGAAGCTCCAAATGATCAACCTCTGATGCCTCCTCCTTCTAGGGTTCTGTCCAGTACTGAGGCTCCAAATGATCCCCCTCCGGTGCCTTCTCTTTCTGGGGCTCTACCGACTGCTGAGACTTCTCCTAAGCAACCTTTGTGAAGTCTCCCTCTTGTGTGCTTATTTTGACTCATGTATATGTACATATTTGTAGCTTATCGGGGATATCAATAAATAAGCTTTCCTTCATTTCAACGTATTTGTGTTAAATACACCAAAGCCTTCTTCGCTAAGTTCTTTGAATTTTCTTTTGTTGAAGCTTGTATGTTGAAGCTTTCTGAGTGGAGCATGTAGGTTGGGGTAGTGTTCCCTTAATTTCCTGAGTGAGGAAAACTTCTTGGTTGAAGACTTGGAAAATCCAAGTCACTGAGTGGGATCGGCTATATGAATCTTAGAACGCCATTGTGCTCGATCCTGTGTCATGTCCTTCGTTAGATCCAAGTACTCTAAGTCTTTTCTTAGAGTCTCTTCCAAAGTTTTCCTAGGTCTTCCTCTACCCCTTCGGCCCTGAACCTCTGTCCCATAGTCGCATCTTCTAATCGGAACGTCAGTAGGCCTTCTTTGCACATGTCCAAACCACCGTAACCGATTTTCTCTCATCTTTCCTTCAATTTCGGCTACTCCTACTTTACCCCGGATATCCTCATTGATAAATGACAATATTCATTTAATTACCTTACCTCTAAAGAGTAAAGACCTATCTGCCGGATGGAGATATTGGGTGGTGACGTCTGTGCTGTCCTTGAAAGAGAATATCAAAATATGGCTGCTGAGTTTATGGTGAAAGATGTCCAGTTGATTTGGGCAGAGGTTTTTAGCTTTTACCTCTTCACTTTATTAGATTGAATATAGGTATAAGTTACAGCTTAATGTTGATGCTGCCATCTATGTCTAGTAAAATTTTTGTGTTGAGTTTATGTTGTGTAACTTGCATTTCCCTTGAATGAAATTGCTACGTGCGTGTCTATTTCATTAGCCATTATTTTGATTCTAGTTATAGTAGATAACAAAACTTTTGATTTTCCTATGTAAATACTATTTGGTCTTCTTGTGGTAGGTCAAGCTTGTAAAGTGCCTTGTGCAAAATATTGTGGTCGATATTTCCTTTAATCAGTTAGGAGGGCTATGTACACTATGCTTTCATGAGTAGGTAGTCATTCACACAGAGCTGAATTGACAATGAAGTTCAATTTGTCACATATGAATTGAATGATTTACCAGATTTCATTCATATAATCGGATTCTTGTATGGAAGCTCTAAGTTGTCTAATGAAACTTGTTTTTCAAGTCTTCTATTGAAAGTATATGCTGACTTATGCCTTATAACCAATAACCTTGAATGGTATTCGATTAGAGTACTCTTTTATTTATTAAAGTCTACTAATCAAACTCTTTTATTCTGGGGAAATGTGATTGGATCTTATTATTAATTTTTTTTTTTTTTTTTTTTTTTTTTTTTTTTGGAAAACGATCTTATTATTAAATTTGGTTATGCTAGATTAGACTGGAAATGGTCTATGTGTAGGATTTATGTAGTAGTACCGGTTGACTCCCCCCCCTCTTATTCCTTGTATTTTCAGCAAGCTAGTAAACCTTCTGATAGTTTGTTCAAGCTGAAGTTCAACACGCATGTTTATGGAACTCTTCACCCTAACATTTTTCGTTTCCCATCTGCAACAATGAAAATGGTTAAGACACTATTTTATGAACTACAACAACTATTTGTGGAACTACCGCAAGTAAAAACCCACGCTATTTATGAAATGAACCAAAATAATCCACACTGTATTTGGAAGGTAACAAAATAAACATTATTTTTGAAATTACAGTAAAATAACTAATATTATTTCTGAAAGTAAACCAAAATAATACATATTATTTTTGGAATTACACCAAAATAATTAACACTATTTATGAAAGTGAGCCATAATAATTCATACTATTTCTGGAATTACAACGAAAAACTCACACTATTTACGAAACCGAACCAAAATAACTCATACTATTTATGCAAGGGAGCAAAATAAACATTATTTTTGAACTATTTCTAACAGTGAACCACTATTTCTTGAACTACAACAAAAATAACTCACGCTGTTTCTGAAAGTGAACCAAACTAACCCTCACTATTTCTTAAACAACATTATAACCTACACTATTTTTGAAAGTGAACTAAAATAACCCACACTATTTATTGAACTACAGCATAATAACTTGTACTATTTTTGAAAGTAAAATAACTCACACTATTTATGAAAAATAACATAACTCACACTATTTATGAAAAATAACAAAATAAACACTATTTCTGGAACTAATACAAAATAACTCACACTAATTCTATATTTGAACAAAAAATAATGCACACTATTGCTGGAACTGTTGCAAAATGATATACTATTTATGAAATTGAATAAAAACACACTATTTCTTATGGTTCTAAAAGATGCTAGGCACTTATCGAGTGACAGACTAGGGCCTAGGCACAGCCTAGGCGAGTGTAAGTAAATTTATTTATCTTTAGTACTTTGGCTAATTTGATAGAGTGAGATGAAAGTTTAAATAATTATAACTCCGTAGTACTTTACAAAATAATTTTCAATAATCATATGAATTTGTTGTAAATTTAAAAAAGGGTAAAAGACTGTTTACTACCCTTAAGTTTCGTGGTTTTCAACATTTGGTACATCAAGTTTTTTTCGTCCCAGAGTCATACCTAAAGTGTTAATTTCTCATACATCTGTTAGTCAAACTGTTAAGTCTGCCATTAATTGATAACGTGGCGCCCATGTGGACAATGACTGGGCGCCACGTGTCATTAAAAAAATTAAAAAATATTAAACTATTAAAATAATTAATTAAAAAAAATATTAAAAACAAGAAAAACAAAACAAAAAACCCAGAACCCATTTGTCTTCCCCACCCCGACCCCCTCCCTTCTCTCCACTGCACCTACCCCAACGTCTGCACATCTATCCTTCCCCCTCCTCCGACCAGCTTTCCAACCAATCCCCTCCCTCGTGGATCCACTCCCATCCCCTTCTCTGTCGTCCCCACCCCAATCTCATCTCCAATTTTCTTTCATAAATTCCATTCTTAACCCCACAAACATGGAGAAAAGGAAGACCCATCCCCACCTTCGTCCGAGCACTTTTCTCCCTTCGCCGGAGACCTCGTCGCCGTGACTTACACTGAGCGCCAAGAGGAAGACTGTGACGACGATGGACATCGTCTATGCACTCAAGAGGCAAGGTAGGACTTTGTACGGGTTCGGGGGTTAGGTTGTTAGGGTTTCAGATTGGGGATTTTGTAAATTGGTTGGTTGGTGGGCTGGTCGTTGGGTAGATCTAGGTAAGGAAATACTTCAATTTTTATGTTTTTAGTTTGGATTTGAATGGAAAATCTACCTATTTGCACTGGTGTATGAGTCGCCACGTTCGCCGTGCTCATCCTGCTACCCACCTCCTCCCTCTTCGACTCCCCGATCCCTACCATCGTCGTCTTCTTCCAAAAATTAAACGAAAGCTGCAATCTTCCCCTAATCAAAATAGAACCCAATTACAAGACATGAATTAAACCCTAAAAGTCAAATCAAATTCAACTACATAAATAATTAGAAAGTTTAGAAATTGGAGAACTAGAAGTCAGACTTCAATTGGGGTTTTGATGGTTTGGTTGTAGACCATTTGAGAGCTCAGGATAAAGAAGAAGGGTGGCCCTTTTTTTCTGTGATTTGGCGGTGCAGAGAGGAGGGGAGGTGAGGTTGTAGACGTGCGGTTTTTTTTTTTTTAAATACTTTTTTAAATAATTATTTTAATAGTTTAATATTTTTAATTTTTTTAATGACACGTGGCGCCCAATCATTGTCCACATGGCGCCACGTCATCAGTTAACGGCAGACTTAACAGTTTGACTAACGGATGTATGAGACTGTCCCAAAATTAACACTTTAGGTATGACTCTGGGACGAAAAAAACTTGATGTACCAAATGTTGAAAACCATGAAACTTGAAGGTAGTAAACAGTCTTTTACCCTTTAAAAAAATAAAAGTGACTGTTTTGATTAAAAACTAAATTAAATAACAAGGTGACTTGTATAAAGAATTGATTTGCTAGAACAGAGCGACAAGTGAATCGTGACTGTGCTGTAACTCATAAGCCATTGGATGATTGGAGGAGCTTTTAATTTCCTTTTTCCTCTTCGTGTGATTATGCTTCCATGAAAATGTAATGTACCACATGCTAACAATGCCCGAACCTAACTTAGCTTAAAATGAAAGGCCAAGACCCCACACAGGGGCGAAGCCACGTGAGGGCGAGGAGTGGCAGCCGCCACTCCCCTCGCCGGGAAACCCATTGGTTCATCCTCTGTTTGTGTTGTTGGGTGATCTGTTCTGCTGCGCACAGCAGCAGATATGCAATTTTTTTTTGGGAGTAGGTTGCGATGGGATCGATGAAGGGCTTCGACTTCGAGTTTGCAGATTTGCCATGGCATGGGTAGTGGTAGGAGAAATGAGGTGTTTGGTTATCAACATAGTAGTACTGACTATGGCTCCGGGGCTGCTGTCCCGAAAGTGGTGTCTCCTTCATGTCTCCTTCTTTATTTGTTTGACGGAAATGGGGTAGGATGTGGGCGCACCTGGGTTCGAAGAAAAAACATTGAAGACGTCATCTGCTTACAGGCGGGTTCGCCATTGACGGACAAGAAGAATCCATATGCGATAGATTTTGTCACCGGCCATGGAAATGGTGGCTCGAAGCTTTGTGAAGAAAGACCCGAACTAACATTGAAATCAAGCAGAGACACCACCTCACCCACCGCTCACAAGCGGCGATGCTTTTCTTTTCGGCTTCTTCTACTTCTTGGAAAGAGAATTTTTAGTTTGTTTCTAGGGAAAATTGGGATGGAAATTTGGAATTTGATCTTTCATTATGATTTGGGGTCACTTGTTTTGTGTTTTGCAAGAACCAAGGGGATTCTACCCCTGGTTTTAATTTACTTTTTATTATTTATTTGTTAACTTATTAAAAGTTAACAAAGTTATGTTTAACTCTCACATTATTTATTTAAGACCCATAGCGTATTTATCTTAAACTTTCATATTATCTATAAATATTGTACTAATTTTTAAAAAATAATGTAAATATTGTTTAATACTTATTTCACGATATAAAAAATATATTTAAATCTATCTAGGCTCCTACTTAAATCTTGTCTAGGCGCCTAGCTGCTAGGTCTCAATCCATAGCGCCTAATGTTTTTTTAGAATCTAATCCTAACCAATTTAAGCTTCTTACATGGCTTTGATATTACCGCTTACAACCGTTATGGTGAAGAGACTGTTTTCTACTATGAATATTGACTTAAAACTTTGCACTGTCCAATATAAAAGCAACCGCTTCGATTGAAACCTTGCATTCTTTTGAATTTCGCCCCTCCCCTCGACAAATTCTGGCTTTGCCACTGCCCACATGTATGGAACATATACATCGTGATAGGTGAGTATGATGTAATGCCAGTTATTTTATTTCCTTTATTTATTTTACCAAAAAACTTCACATTCTAGTATTACTGCTTTCACGTGAGAAATCTTAGATTCAATTCTCGTCAAAGACAAATTTGAACTAATTTATTTTGGTTAGTTTAATGTAAATTTTTTTTCTTTCTACTTTCTCATTTCTTTTTTATGATCAAGCAATGTTATTCAATGATCAAAACCGTATATTATCTAGGTCACTCTTTAAAGAGCAACTTTGCAACAAAGAACCAAACTAGATATCGTCAAACCATTTTAGAATAATATTGTCATAATTTCAGTGTTTAAAAGAATTATTGAATAATCGTTACATGAGCAAAAACTTTTGAATGCATTTAGATTTTTGTAGAGATGGTTTTTAAATGACGACCTAAAGATAAACAGTTCAAATCATCATGCAACATTACAGGATGAGAATGAAAATAATAAGATTTCCAAATTGATTTGCATAAAAAAAAAATAACAAGACGACTTGTATGGGATATTGCTACTATGTAATTTTAATTTCATGTGCCATTTTTGTTTTGTAGTCGAACTATAAGATTTATTTTATTTTATTTATGCTGCTTGATTATTAAGATGCATTCCTATTTAAAACATGAAGGTAAAATTGCCAATTTAGTCTCTGAATTATCACCTTAGTGAAAATTAGGTCCCTAAACTATTTTTTTCAGAAAAAATAGTCCCTAATTATAAAAATTTGCCAATTACATCCCTAATGTTATATTCGAAGCCACTATATTCAATTTTCCGTCAATATAAGTCACGTTACTTGCATGTTATACACATTACAGGGTAGATTGGTAGTTTTTCATA